TATGCCCCAAGTGGGACGTTGATGAAGACCTACACAGTGCATAATTTCTTTTAAGTTCTTTTAAGCAGTCTTGTGTTATGAGTACAATTAAAAGTCCATCAGTATCCCAAGTACTCGTGCATTATCTACCCTGCCACACTTCGCTAATGCGTCTTATCATTTAGGTTGCTAATACTGTTCAGTGTAAAGACAGTCTTTCTGAGGTAGACTGTTCAAGTTCAAGGACAAGTCTTTTTCTTACGAAATGCATGACATTCAAAAAAAGACAACAAATAAATACTACATGTACAATATGTAGCAATGAGGTAGAAATGGTTATAAAGAACAATGTTTGAATACACGTCAGATGAAAAAAGAAAAAAAAGAAATGAATATTCTCTAGCAACTGTATATAATCCACGAGGAGACACACACACACACACACACACACACACACACACACGAGAGAGAGAGAGAGAGAGAGAGAGAGAGAGAGAGAGAGAGAGAAAGGGAGACTGAAATAAACCTTTGCTTTTTTTTTTTTTTTAATATCATAAGACAACAAGAAAGAATGAATGTGCTCCCAACCTTGGTGTACTACGGAACCATTTTATAAATATTTAACATTCTATAGGACTGATTCATATATTCTCACACAACTCTGTGGCAAGGCTGACCCATGCTGCCGACATTCTACATATCACTGAGACAGGGAGGTGAAATTTTCCTGCTTTCAGTCTAATTGTCTTTGACAATTGCAGTGCCTAGTGCTACACTGCTTGTGTTGTATTTAAAAACAGGGGAAAGAGGAGAGACTTGTTCATTAAAGATGCAGTATCCCTGGTTCACACAAATGCATCTGGCAGGTTCAAAATCGAATGTCAACCAGAGGTCTTAGCAGAGTGTGAGCTTCAGTTCATGTGTTGGTTAGTCACAAGTACAGCTGGTTTTGAATTCAGAAATACTAATAGCTCCATGTTTGCTAATGTGCTTCGTATGAAAATCGGCAAGTGATTCAACAACCGAAGGCTTTACTTTCAAAAGAAAAAACCATATTAAAACACTTTGAGCTGTCGAGTGGTCATGTGTATCTGTACATGTGAAGAAAGGAAGTAACCAGTTGCTTCTGAATAATGTAAAATGGATGTTAAAGTTCAAATAGGTGGTGGTGAAAACAGCACACACATACACACACACAAACACACATGCTAATTTTATATATATATGTATATATATATTATATATATATATACATATATATATATTAGAACTTTACCTTAGTGGCCTCGATAGTTCAACAAACTGTGTCCCTTTCACTTCGCAAAATACAGTTTCAGTGATCACGATAGCCAGTTCTTGTTAAGAAACATGAGAATGGGATTATAGAAGCATCTTTCTGTTGGGAGTTGGACACATTTCTAGAGAAACATTCTAAATGCCTTTAAAATATATTTTCCAACCCACAAATATATGTAAATTTACAAAGACCTATTGTAGGAGTTAATTTGGACTTTTTTGGATGTATTCTTCTGAAAACTGCATAGCCAAGTACTATGCAGCCCTTGTAAATTGACCTTGCTATTTTACATCGCATAGCCTCTGGATAGCTTTTATCACTTGCCCAGATGGTGTTTGGCCTATGTATTTGAGTGGAATGGTTTATTTTCTCCTTGATAGGTTTCAAATGCATAAGAAAACATTATACCCGTCTATCTGCATTTGAGTAGAATACAAACTGACTAATAGATAAACATTCTGTGTGAAAGTAAATAGCTTTAAAGTATACTGCCTTCACATTCCATTGATCAGCTCAGTCAGCAAAGTTTTCCATATTGTCACTAATGTTCTAAATATTTTGGTGAGAGGCATGCCAGGAGAGTAGGGTATTTCCATTTGTGTCACACATAAGGTCATTATGAACTACCTCTTGAATTTCCATTGATCCTTCTACTGAAGTGGTTTCCTTTACTTCCTTTTTGTTCCCGTTGGAAATGTTACTGCAGTTATGAAGAAGGGAATTAGGGACTGTTACGTGGACTGGCTCAAATCCCCTGGCCAGACGGCAAGGGATTTGGACTGGCTCATTACCTTACCTTCGTTAGTAGCCTTCTCCAAATTCTTAGCAGTCAAAAAGAGGCCAAGAGTACGAAGCCCGCTTACTCAGTTGTACTATCACTGATTGTACGCATTCACTTCTCAGGATGTGGCACCCCACCCCCACCCCAAGCTCCAGAAGGGATGGTCAGAAAAGAGCTCATTATTAGGCTAGTCCATAGAAGAGCTCATAATGCTGCCATGCAGAATCAAAGAATCACAGGAGAGCACTATCTACTCAGAGGTCAGCCTTATCTCCCCCAACAGATCTTCATTTCTTCAGCATGCCCAATTTCCTAAGAGATCAAATCCAAGAATTCATGAGGCTAAATGAAATTCACACAAGACTTCAGCTTCTGCCTAAATACATGGATCTCTGACGACTCATCTCTCAAAGTAATTTTTAAGTCACTTAAAGCTAAAAGCCAATATGTATGACTTCAATTTATTTTCATTTTTATAAATGAGTGTAAAACACAACAGTGCAGTCATATTTGGCATTAACTCTTACTAGCCACAAAAATGTGGGTCAATATTGGATTTTCCAAAGTTGTCTAAATAAGACTGGGTTTGTCAAAACTTGCCAGTTGCTTTCAAGTGAACACAGCATGTTGGCGGAAATGAAATGTAATGTCTAAGAGACAGAAAATAGGTCAGCACTGTGCAAAAGTAAACTTGTCAGCGAGATCAATATGAACCTACAAGTTAATGGGGATATTAGAATTTCCTTACAATAAGAGATGTGCAGGGTACAGCCAAAACACGATTATAGCATTTATTCACTCGTGAAAAGCAGAGGACGTATTTAAATATTATTTTTTGTATCCTTAATGAAAGGCACTGCTTTTTAATATGGAATATTTATATATAAGCACAGTTTTAATTGATAGACTATCACAGTAAATTAAATTTTGGTTCATTTGCTCAGTTTTTTGCAACATGAAAAATACGAAAAAAGGGGAGTAATGATCAAGCGTCAGAAAAGTTCAGAAATACGATGAGGTCCTTCATTAGCTTTCTCTATGTTAAGTGTTTCAGAGAATTTGACATTGTGAATGAAATCAGTCAAAATTTTTGAAGGAAAAAAAACAATAACAGAAAGAGCTTTCTTGGGGCTTCTCATTGCATTTATTTAAATTTTTAAAAAATGTACATCACTTTTTGAATACATAAAATGCCAGTGCTTTGCAACAGTTTTGTTACTGCATCTCTCAACTAAAAAAAAAAAAAAAAAAGGAAGAAAAAAAAAAAAAGCAGGAAAAATACATTCAAAAAGCCAGGCTGTTCTGCTTATGCACGGGCAGTGGCTTTGGAAAGCTACGGCCTACACGGTCTGTTCAGAGACATTGCCGAACATCAGTTAGCTATCAATGAAAAGTTGCACATAAAGCATTAAAGGATACAAAGAACAACTTGGAGGGGAGCAGGAGAAGAATGGGAAAGTAAGAAAAATGCCACATATTCTGGGGTGGGGGTGGACTCAGGCGGAAGCAAGCATGAAGACCGATGTTTTTGGAACCCAGATCTATGGGAAAAGGGAGAAAACAAAGTAACGTGTTTGACAAGATAGAGTTGTGTGTGTGTGCGCGCCTGTGTGCGTCCACTTCCAATTTTCTATTTTACTCTCCAAGAGAAATATAACAAAACTGAGGTAGAAATGAATGTGGGAGCACTATAGCCCAGAAGATTTCAAAATGAGAAGCAAAATTGCACTGAGAAGAGAGGAGTCAAAAAGGAGAGGGGATGTAGATGTTCTTTGTGGATATAGAGAAGTTGGTTGGTTGGTTTTGCTATTGTTTGTTTGTTTGTTTTGCTTGCTATCTTCTCCATTCTGTCAAACAGCACGGCAAGCCTATAAACTAGATTAGTGAATAGGAGGACACCATTCCCAGCAGTTTTGAGAGAGAACTCGCAAACCACCACCACCACCATCACCACCACCACCACCACCACCACCACCACCACCACCAACTATGCAGTAAAAGGCAGTCCTAGATTTTAGGTACTGTGACTTTCAGGGTCCTAAGCAGGTCTTGTGGCTGAGTGTTCTAGACACTAACATGAACTGAATAAGTAGCTTTCCATTAACCAGTGTACCTTTTAAGAACATTTTCACTTCATTATCAAGGAGCAATGTACGAAGAACTCTTGCAGTTTTTGACATAAAGAATTATTCTGCTCTGGTTAATTCCCCATAATTAGTAAAAGAATCTTTTTTTTTTTTTTTAAATCCTTCCATTTCTACTTTAAATTGTAAATATTCAGTTGTATCACACGTCAGTATTTTTTCTGGATACATTCAAAGTAATTTTCCTTGCTATTTTCCAATTGTTGAGGTAAACATACATTTTTAATATAAAGTAACATTGAAGCCTATCCCATTACTCTCAGCAGTACATAGTGCTTTCAACACATTCCTTTGAGGTACTGTACAAATCACAATCGCTTTCCTGAGTTTTTGCAGACAAGAACATTAAAAGAAATGAACTGCAGAAATTAAGGTCCAGATTACCGTTACCCTGTTTTACCTGTTCTTAGCTTAATACTGCAGAACAGACAGGATTGAGGAATACTGTTGCTCTTAAAATGGCAAAAATCTGGTTTTCTGTCTTCACACAACCGTTCATCTCTTTAGTCCAATAATGTTTGAAGTTAAAGCTCTTTATATTAGCACATGCCACCAATGTAATTGTGAGGCAAACAAAAAATAAAGCACCACTCCAGGCACTTGACAGCAACTAAATCTCGAGAACAGCAGAATGGAATCAACACACGAGGTTCATGTCCTTCTGAAATCAACACACTTGCACCTTGCTCCTTGGTGAGTGTTGTCTAGCTTGAACTGAACTGAGCATCAACAGATGCTTTCTGTCCTCTGGGGCTCTCAAATCAGAAGCTCTCATTTGATGCGTTTTTTTTTTTTTTTTCCTCCAAATCTACCCTGACTCTAAAGATGCAACTCAATCGTCATCTTCCCCGGTACCCTTTGTGATTTAAACACTACTGGAAAGGGGCTCTAGACCCTATGTAGCAGGTTTTATGCGTGTGTGCCAACATTCATTACATTTTTTTTTAAGAAGTTATCACTGACTGCAACCAAACATTTTGTTCCATTCAACATACATATCAAGCTCTTTTTGAGATATGCTAGGCTGAATCTTGCAGAAAGCATTTTCAAAGTCTTGATATGTAACAGGCCTCAACTGGCTGGGCATGATGGCTGAAAGGTCTGTGGCTGGTATGGCATGGAGGGGGCCCACCACTGCTTCCTGACACAAATGAGCCACGTCTAGTCCAGAAAAGCCTTCTGTGCGCTGGACGAGCAGTGCAAACTCCTTGTCATTGAGACAGTAATTGTGCTGTGAGAGCAGTTGTACTATTATCTGGTGCCTCGCTGTGCTGTCAGGAAGTGGGATTAAAAGTCGTTTCATGAAGTATCTCCGAAGAGATTCATCTATTTCTTCTGGTTTACTGGTGGCACAAATTACTACGATTTGGTCCTCAGCTGAAGTCAGGACAGTGTCCAGCTGCATCAGAAATTCCGTTCTCATCCGATTGACTGGACTGTGTTCCTCGCTCACTTGAGAGGAGAGAAGCATGTCAATGTCACTGACAAAAATCACCGAGGGTTGGCGACACCTGGCCACGAGAAAAGAGGCGTGGATAATTTTTTCTGCTTCTCCTAACCACTTGGCAACGAGTCCAGAACCGGCGATTTTGAAAAACGTGGCCCCCAGCTGACTAGCTATGCATCGGCCCAATAATGTTTTGCCTGTTCCCCGAGGTCCAAATAAAAGGATGCTCCGAGGGGAGGCCGTCAGTCCACTGAATGCATCTGACCTCAACACTGGCCATAAAACCTCCTCTTTAATGACAGCCTTTACCAGGTCGAGACCAGCAATGTCACTCCAGTCCACCGGTGGTCCTTGGGTGATAATCTCATTGGTTACCAGGTCAATGAGGTGCGTGTCAGTGTTCTTCAGTTGCTCGTCCACAGAGTGGTTGGATGAGGTAGCTGCACGGAGTCCAGGGCCTTGCATTGGGTGAGAGAGGAGCTGCCTGTGCTCGTCCCCATGCTCACTCATTACTGGCGACGTGTACTTCCCAAAGGATTCACTGGATCTTGATCCCAATGAATTTTTAGCAGTACTATAGGAAGGAGGGGTCAGAGCCCTACTGGACTGGCTGCTGAATTTCCTTTGCTGTTCAGAGGACATTAGCTGCTTCGTTGGCTTAAATGCTAAGGATGATGTTTCAGCATTTCTGTCAAAGCCATTCCCTCGATTTGAGTTTGAAATGCTGTTGTCGGGCATTCTGTACATGGGACTCTGTGTAGATCTCTGTTGGCCATAGCTGTAATTTCCATAACTGGAGTCCATATCTCCCTGCCCTGCCATATAGAAAGCTTTCCTTTTAAGGGAACTTGCCGAACTGTTTGTCAGAGCCGAGGGTGCAATGGGTGTCAAACCATGACCCTGGTAGGTGTAGCCAGGAACAGTGGTGGGGGGCAGAGGGGTAGGAGCAGGGATTCCTGAAGGCAGGTACGCTGAAGGAGGAGGAGGTGCACCGCCAGGGCTGTACCCGGATCCCACAGCAGTCTGAGGAGGATAGCTAGCAGAGGGATAGCTGTAACTGGAGAGGTTAGAAGTCCCATTGTAGCCTGGGACCAGGGCTGGTGGTGGAGGTGGCGGCGGCGGCGGCTGGAGGAGCCCAGAGCTATGCAGAGGAGAAGGATGAGGTGAGGGAAGTGCAGGTGCGGGCTGGCTACTGTAAGTAGAATGCAAATACGATCCATTGTATCCCGGGGCATATTCCTGAGACGGGAGCCCTGCGTGGAGACTAGGTACGGTGTGGCTCCCGCAGGTACTACTTGAATAACTCGGTTCTGTCAGGTTGCTGGCCACCCCAGGAGAGCTCCCGATACTCGCAGAGACATCTGCTGGAGGGAGGGCTGAACTGACTCCAGCTTTGCTGGCAGCGATAACATCCGGAACACAGTTCATGGGATAAACAGCTTCGGAATTCAAGGAAGGCTGCCAGGGTTCGCTTTCATTTTTCCGACCGTTCACGAGGCCCGATGGGGCATCGGAGTAGTTGCTGAGTACAGGTCGGTCCACGGGGCCTTCTAAAATGCCAGAATACTTCTCTGCATATTTTTTGAGTAGGTTGGATGCAGTCAGAGCAGAAATGTCATCATTTGCCCAGGCGTACTGATAGGTGCGCTGCAAATGACCTCTGTAGGCTTCCACTTTGTGGGCAGGAGACCGAGTGGTTGAGGTGATGTCAAAGTGCTGTTCTGGCCACTGGGCATGCTCCGGCGTCCACTGCATCTTCAAGCCTGCGGATTTGGGGGGACGAAAGTTAATTTACTGAGATACTCGTCAGAAGTGCGTAAGCTTTTCCCTACCGTCTTTGGCTACCTATTACCTTCCATTAATGAAAGAGCCGCTACAAGGAATTCCCACAGTGTGTGATATCCACTGGGACCTTACAGTATGTACACTTTAAAACGGACTGGATTTCAGTCCTGTATAAAAAGTAAACTGAATTTAAACAAAAACTCTGTAGAAGACCTCATTCTTTGTTCATTTTTAAGTAATGAGCATTCGATTTCTGTTAAGCCTGTCGAGTTCCTCGCTGCACACACACAGGAACACATATATATGTACACACACATTTCTGTCAAATTAGAATTCGATTATAGGTCCTTACGATGAAATATGCATATCTTTTAACTATCGGGCACGTGATAGCATTAACATGTGCAATATCTAGCCATCCTGTCTCTTCACATCAGAGTTTCTGTTTTATATTTTAACCAATATAGAAATGAGACACAGCTGACAGATCACATCTAGGACCCCTCTCTTATTTGGTACTGAACACCTAGTTAGCACAGTATAATGCTCCCTGCGCAGAACAATATGACACAGACATAGCAGGTCATTCCATAATCCAACTCTCATCTAAAGTGCTCCACGACAGTTTCAAATCTGCTTCGTGGAGTGCAGCAAAGCAATCTCCCAGGCAGCGCTCCATCGCTTTCATCGCACAAAGCCTACAACTCGGTATGAATTACAACTGGCTCCTTTCTGCCTCTCAGTTCTGTTGTTGAGTCTCTGAAAAAAAAAAACAAGCATCACTTGTCTGTCGGTCTTCCAGCTGGCATTCTCCCTCCATTCCCTATAATCCTTCCCTCTGCTTTACAGCCTCCAAGTACTAAGAGGGGAGACTACATATGCATATATAGACAGATAGATAGATATACACACACACACATATATAATATCTAGACGTATATCTATTATGTGTGTGTGTATATACGTGTGTGTAAATCTATCTATATATGGGGGGAGAAGAGGAAGTCAAGAAAGGAAGGAAGGAGGGGAGGCAAGCAGGCAGGGAGGGAGGAAACAGGTGAAAGGGAGTGTAAGAATAGAGAAGAGGGAGAGACTCTCTCTTTACATTTCTGTGGGAAGCAGTGTGTGTGGCATAAACTCAAGGAGCACAGCTAGATAATGAGACGCTACGGGTAATGCTATCATCTGCTAGATTACTAACCGAAGCAAGGTGACTTAAGTAGCAAACTGTAAAACAAGAGTCTTTTCTCAGTTAGAATCAGAGAATCATTTGAATTTTACAGTTTAAAGAGACCTCAGAAATTACCTTATTGCACAGATTAGGGAACCAGTACCCAAAGGGCTTTAGAACGTACCCTGGAGGACTCGCCGTATACTTAGTTACAGTCGAGCACGGGAACCCTGTTTTGTCTCCCAGCTCATGGCTCACCTCATTCTAATCTCTGCTTGGTTCGAACACTTTGGATTCCAGGATGGCTATATTAAGTAGGCCTCCTTCAGCTCTTCTGGATTACCCAAAGTGAATTTTGTAAACTGCCTTATGCCCTGTGGCAGAGATTCCTTGATAAGGAGGAGGCCTGCTCTAAATGAAGCATCAGCTCCCTTCTGAATGACTGCAGTCAGTTTTGACAGCTCCTACACCCTCCTGCCTTCCTCCTCCAACCCCTTTAGCTCTTCATTCCCTGACTCTGGCTTCTGACACCGCCAGCTTTGACTTCCTGAGCTAAACTGAACAGAGCCCAGAGTTTGGTAACAGAATGGCATGTTGATTCCCTCCTGACTCCCTCTTCCTTGTTTGCAAAACCACTGCACCAGACACTGGAAGTTAATTAGCAGGATGATGCTGTGCTAATTGTGTTAATTTACAAGGTTTTAGTCAAAGAGAATCATGCCAGGGCTGGCACTGCTGTCATGCTTCCGACTTAATGATTAAGAAATACTGAAAACAAGGTGGGAAGGATTGCAGTAATTACACAATAAATGAATAAAGCAACAGGATTCATTTGCAAATATATTTTACTGCAGTGGTACTCATTTGCATTTGGATTTTTAAAAAGGATCCATGTAGATATTCATTTGCAAATCACCATCTCAGTTAAATTAAGTCTGAATGCTGCACAGTATAACTTAATCAAGCTCTCTCTATTTTTTTAAATAAAAATACAAAAGACCTTATTTCTCTTGGTTATGCAACAGATTCTTTCTTCTCTTTCCTATCCCTTACTCCTCCCAAATCTTCATATGTTTTTCTTTGAAAACTCTATTTAAAAAAAAAATAATAATCTCATCAATTGGGAAAAAGAAATTGTAAAATCCTGATGAAGTAAAGCTTGTGTCATTTCAGTCCGAGAAACTCTGGGGATGAGTTCTAGGAGGAACTAAAGTGATATTCTTAATTGTTTCTGCTTTCTCAATCATTCCTTTTGAAGGGGGGTGGGGTGGGGGGGGGTTGGAACACATCGCAGAATGGGTGAAATGACCGAAACCACACTTAAAGGGGAAAAGATGCAATTTTAATGAAGCAGCATTTCAGGAATCGTACTTTCATTAAATTCAACTGGAAATTATTAAGAGCAAATCACCAGGAACCAATCGCAAGTAATCAGTATCTAAATTCTTTTAGTGTCATGGGATTTACTTCAAGCCTTATAAAAAGGAAAGAATATTAATGTGACTGTAATGTAGAACTGTCTAAAAGACCTACAAATTCATTAGTCCTGTAAATTATTTCCAGGGAATTTCTATTAGGGTTTTTTTCTTTAAAAGATTATCAAATACAGAGTTGAGAAAATAAGAATGCACATATGCTCTGAGTGGAAGTTTGATTAGATTGTTACAGAAGAAACATGAATAAATGTCTTGAAAGGAGGCTTCCAAAAATGTTCTGGGAGTCACAGAGAATGGAATTTACCACAAACACAGCATAACACACACACAGATACACACACACACACTAAACAGCATGGCTTCCTTTCGGTTAGCTGAGCCAAGCCATCCTTGGCATTAGTTAACATACATGACAAACATGGTAAAAGCCCATTGAAAAAAATGAAACTGCTCTAGATTTAGAATAATTATTTGAAAAAACAAACAAAAAAGGGCAACCTTCCCCCATATTGGCTTAAAATTTCTTCTGATAAGTTAATCGTTTATAAAAAGTGTGCAAAAAATTGGTTTTAGTAAGTTCTAATCACTGTAAAAGACAGGAACGTAAAGTTGACATTAAAAAGGTTGGTCATCTTCACTGGGTATGTCTGCGGAGTTTAACTCTAGCAAAACTAATACATTTCCTAAGATTTCTATTTCATCTGAAATTAAGCAAAGAGCCTATCAAAATTATTTACTTGGGACAATTACTGGATATACTGTTGCCTTTTAATTCTCGTGCTATTTTTGGAGGTCCTTACCAAGATAATTGAAAGTTTATTTATTGATGCATACTAACTAACAGTAACCTTAGCAGGGCTGCCAAAGGCAAGACAGAGCTTTGATTAAATAACCTTAAGGGAACAGAATTATTCACATCCCTTGGAACACGAGTACTTACCCCGTGTTTTGAAATCATTTATGTTACTTGAAAGCATCAGTTAATAGTTAAGCATAAGCTAGTTCTTATTATTAGTATGAGTTGAAGAAGCTGGCGTTCAGGAGATTGTCCTGGTCTTGGGAGCACGGAGAGCTTTCTCATCAGTTTCTTGAATTTTAATGCTAATTGGAAGGAGAACCAAACTTCTTGTTGTTGTTATTCTGTTTATTGCTGGTGATATTTCTGGTGTGGAATAGAAGAAAAATGTAGAGCCAAATGTTCTTTGAACAAAAAAATCATGCTCCGTTTGACTGCACTGCTGTTCTCGACGTGTCGGAAGCAGTACAGGCCTGTCACTTAACTTGGCACCCAAATAATAAGATAGGCTTTAAAAACAGCTTTTGTATGGTTTCTCTCTGGAATGCGCAGAGCTAAATCTCAGAAACAATGCTATTTTAACACTATTAAAAACATGACTCCAGAACAATAACTTCCATGGCTGTTTAGAAATAGCTTAAATAGGTACAATAAAAATTCAGAAAACAGTGGAAAGTAAGAAAAATAGTTCTTAAAGATAATTGAAGAATTGTTCCAAAACATCAATTTTTATTTTTGAAAGGATCAGGAAATTCTTAATATAGCCAGCAAATTTCACAATGCAATGTGTTTGTTTTTAAAATATGTAATTTAATCAAAAATTGCTTTTAAGAGATGTTAACGTAAGTATTATACCAGAATGATAGGGACTACTGTACAAAGCCTGAGTATTCTGTTATTTCATTGCCTTAGGATGAAGTTATATATCTATAAATGAACAAGTCTTTATTTCCCATAAAACCGGACAATTTGGGTAACATTTCCCTTTCTTATCATTTCTGACCACTTTATAACTTGGGTTTAATTACTAAAGAGTTGCTGCCTCATTGCTTTACTTGCTCCGTTTTGTTCTTTAACTATTTTGAAACAACACAACTGTGACATCCTATGAAGTTCTGTCCTAGCTTCCAAATGATGAAGCTATTACACAGAAAAATGAAGGATATAAAAACAACTTGCAGAATGGGAGGAAATTGGAAAGAAGAGACTAAGCCTCTGGAATCTATTTTTAGCACACATTCCTCGAAATATTAATCTAAGTCCCTCACTACCCCTACTCCCACCCCTACCGAACACCCCAATGCTGCTCAGCAGTTCATCAGGTCTAAAAAAGCTGTTCTCTTCTACAAGGTTCCCATAGGGTAATTCTGGCTGATAGGTACTCTGGCTTCATCCGTAGGTTTTCTTACACTTCCTAAGGGCAGGGACCTGAGGCAAACAGCCGCAGGCCTGGAAGGCTTGCTTGCGTAGGATAGCTGCACAGTGCTCACACAGGCCTGCACGACATCACTGCACCTGTTACACTCCTTTGGGCCATTGTACCTCTGAACTTTTCATTATTATTTAT